ACTGAATTTTTGTCTGTATAATTTAGAATATCTTTTATGTATGTTCTTAGGAAGAATCCGAATACATACACGTATCATATCATTTTTTATTTTTATTTTGAGTGCAGTTGAGCTTACATTTATCTCTGTGTAAATCAATCATTATTCGATAATAAAATTAATATTTTTAATGCGCAGGGAGCTCGCCCCTTTGTAGACCTATGGCCGCTCACGGCGGTGGTCTCTTCTCAAGACTTCGAATCCACTGCGGAGGACTCCATCTTCATCTCCCACCCACGCACCACCTCTCTCCGCTTCGACCCCTCCCCTAAGCTTGCCGCTTCCGCCGCCTCCGCTTCATCGAGATTCTCCTTCACCGTCTCTCAATTCGACTCGTTGAAGCCATGGTACCTCAGCATGACCAACACCCATACTGCCGTAGCCCCCGCAAGCCCTTCACTCGCGGGCGCCACTCCTCTCTCCGCCAGGTCACACTCCTTCGCTTCGCCGGCGGCTAGGTCCGCCCCTCGCCTGAGCGTTCCCTCCACGCCTTCCTCAACGCTGCCGAGAACGCCGAGGCCATCGTTCCTTCAGTCTCCTTCGTCGCTGCTATTCCCGTTCAAGAAGGAAGGAACGGCTGGAAACAGGGCGGCGCGGGACCGAGAAGCGTTTGCGCAGTTTATAAGATTTTACCGGCGGCCGTATGATGAGATAATATACCGCGGGAAGATGAAGGCGCCGCTCGGCGGGCTCGTATCCATCGTGTCGCCTAACGTAAAGATGCAGCGCCGGCAGGGCGGTCAGCACCAGAGGATTTAATTTAATAATTAGCGACGGTGATCATGATAAATGAACTAGTAAGCGCTTCTTTTGTTATTCATAAATTATCAAGTTTATGTAAAATAAATTGAGATTACGCAGCGTAATTGCGAGGTTAACTAGTGGCAATAAATTTGCGTTGCTACGCCGAACCGTGGGCGTGACCGCCGCGCAGCGTGCCTTGGAAGGCGTAGGACCGATGGCGTGGTCGGTACGCTCTGTGACCGTTCTCGGCTTTGGGAATTTCTATAAATGTTATTTTGTAGGAAGGCATGGCGATTGGTTTTTGCAACGCGAAAGAGGAAAAACCCAAAAACACGCACGTACACACAAGGTTTTGTTTGGAACGATTTTTTTTGCTGTTTTTAAAAATATTTTTTTAGTAAA